GGACGATGTTGCTGTACATGGGCGTGTAGCACCACTAGTGGCACCTCGCTCTGCGACAGGCCGTCTAGATCCGCAACTGCCTTAAGAGGTCGACGCTGCCGTCGGGGACGACGCCGTACCAGCTGTTGACAGGGAAGAAGCCCGACTTGTCGCTGGCACGGGTGTGGGGCTGCATGGCGCAGTTCTACTTCGGACGCGGTGTTTTACGAGGATCTGTCGCTGGCCGAGTGGAAGTCGAAGCACGGGCCGGTGTCAGGACGGACGCCGACCACCCTGCCGAACGACACCTCGACGGCGACGCTAGCTCTACTCGCCGAGGTCGGTGAGCTTGCTGTTGAGGACGTCGAGGACGTCCACCCTCCTTCCTCTTCCACTTCCCCTCCGACCCCTGCCCCTCCCCTCGTGGCCGACCTGCGCGGGCTGACTTCTGAGTCGGCCTCCGGCGATGAGGGGAGTCGTGGGACGTCGCCTTCGGCACCGGCCATGGGCATCGCCGGTGGCCGATGTTACGAGTGGCAAGTCAAAGTGGGAGTGAAGTCGACGTTGACAGGTGAGGATCAGGTCGAGGAGGTGCAGCCAACTTGGGTGAATTCCCCGAAGCAGGCAGAGGTGAAGCCGACCACGGAGCAGTCGACAACTGGGCAGTCGGCAGGGGAGCCGACCACAGGGGAGAAGTCGGCCAGGAAGTCGACTGAGCTGCAGCAGGACGGCAAGGGGGAGGACACCAAGGAGTCCACCAAGAATGACGTGGTGGAGGTTCCGCCTGAACCCCAAAAGTCAAGCCGACTTCGGAGGCCACCCGACTTCTTCGTCCCCGCTGCCTTCACCATGGTGTACGACGTGGACGACGACGACCTGACGTATGACGACGCCGAGGAGGATGAGGAATTTCAGGAGCTCGACCCCGACATGCATGCCGACCCCGAGCACCGCTGGGACATCTCGACCATGACGGTGAAGGAGGCGTTGGCGAGCTGGAAGGGCCCGGCGGTGAAAGCCGCCATGGAGGAGGAGATCCGTAGCCTCATCAACATGGGCACTTGGGAGCTGGTCGAACGCCTGCCGTGGGTCAACATCATGAAGAACCAGTGGGTGTTGACGACAAAGTACCACGTCAACGACACCGTCGAGCGCGAGAAGGTGAGGTTGGTCGTGAAGGGCTTCACGCAGGTGCACGGCGCCGATTACGACGAGACGTTCGCACCGGTGGGCAGCGACGTCACGGTGAGAATCTTCCTCAGCATTGTTGGTCGACGACTACGCCGACCTCACCTTCAATGACGAGTAGGCACAGGAGCGATAGGAGGAGGAGTACCGGTAGAAGGTCGGCTCAATGCAGCTCGCAGCGACGACGACGAGGCCGGACATCGCCTTCGCCTGCAGCAAGCTAGGGAGCGGCCTCACGGTGAGGAGCGACCAGCACTGGCGCGAGGTCAACCGCTGTCTCTCCTACCTCGCAAACACGCGTGACACCGCCTTGGAGTTCGGCGGTGGACCTGAGTCGCTGGAGCTGGTCGGCTACGTGGATGCCGACGACGCCGGTGACAAGCAGAATAGGATGAGCACGGGCGGCTACGTGTTCGTCTATGGAGGGGCCGCAGTCTCCTGGTCAAGCCAGCGCATCAAGTGCGCGACGATGTCGTCGACCGAGTCGGAGTACGTGGCGGCCACCGAAGCCGGCAAGGAGGGACGCCGACTTCGCTTCCTCCTTGCAGAGTTCCGGCAGCTGGATGTCGGGAAGCCGACCGTCCTCCGGGTGGACAACAAGTCGCCCATCACGGTCGCCGAAGGCATGGGGTTGACAGGCAACCTCAAGCACATGGAGCAGCGACAAGCCTGGCTGCAGCACATGGTGAAGCGTGGGAAGTTTTCACTGAAGTACATCCCGACCGCTGACCAGCCGGCCGACTTCTTGACGAAGGCGCTGCACTATCCGGCCTTCAACCGGTGCCCCGTTGCCATTGGCCAGGTGCGCTTGGTCGACGTGGGCGACGGGGACAACGACATGCAGTAGTAGGTGCCATGCCCTCCTGCATGGCTCGTGCGGTGTCCGGCGTGCTGTCCGTTGGGTGCACGCCGACGAGCTATTTTTCCGAGCAGTGATGCCGTGTGGGTTGGGTGCCCAAGCGTGAACGCGGCAGAGGAGTGTCAACGGGAGTTGTTGTTGGCCCCGTCCTCGCTTGGGCGGAGCCGACTTTGTGGTTGGGTCAAAGCTAAATCCCCTTAAACACTTCGATAATAAACAATCCACCTCAGCGCTTCTCGCCTCAAATGACTTGTGCACTCCCACGAGATAAACCGGCTGATTGATATACAGAAAATTGATTATATATTAACATATTTTGAGGGTCGCCACGAATTGTCGGACGTCCAAACCCTTTTTGCTCGGATCAAATGCTTCCAAAAGCCTCGCCCGAGCTACTTTGAAGTTCGGCGAAGGTGGTGCCATCGGTCCGTGAAATGTTGGTGTCGCCGCTGCTGCTGCTGCTGTCGCTATTGCATTCGATGCTGCATTCATTGCTGGTGTGGCGGCTGCCGATTGGTTCGCGAGGAGTGCTTCGGTTCGCTGAAGCGCCACCCGCATCTAGTCCGGGTCAGTGTGAATGTTGGCGACTTCTTGCACGAATTTGTCGCCTTGACCTTCCATGTTAGACATCGCGTGTCTGAAAACCGAAAATGAGGTGGAGTGAAAAAACACGGAACCGGTTTAGCGTACCTAAAATCGGTGTTTCACGGTCGTCGCCCCCGCGGTTTGTTCAAGACTGGTTTTTTGTGGTTGAAAGAAAAACGCGTGTGAACGGGCTCTGATTACCAAGGGTGAGGGTTGAGGATCAACCTCAGAAAAGTGGGTTGTAAAATAATTGATTCACCTTGGTACAACACGAGGCTATATATAGTCGACACAAGGCAAGTAACCCAAGTGTTACGCGAATGTTCTGAAGGTCGCGAAGCGTCACGAACAGAACCTTCTCAAACTTGGTAGAATGCAATTTGGTGGCAACCGAAAGGCTTGAGTCCGGTACACGTAACCTGGTTCGGTGCTATAACTATAATAAAAAATAGGAATGCACCTAGGAAATCAAACACAGTTATGCATGATAATAAAGTCGTCGTACTCTCATACGTAGTTCAAGGGTGTGTCAAACTTCTTTATGTTTATGTTAGTTTCTAAAGGCTAGACAGGGTTAGATTGTAAGGAGTATGGCATTTGTACTCGTGTTCACTGTTCTCGACTCCCTGATGCAAGTTTTCTCTCCACACCCCTCCCTTCACTGTAAGGTCCTCCCTCCCTTGGCATAAGGTTCGTGTGCTATGTTAGCATAATTTCTCATACTAACTCTCCAACCTTTCGCGTGTCCCTAGTGAGGCGCGCTACCGTCCTTGCATTTGCTACATCAAGTACACCCGGTGACATTGCTGGGTTGACTGCTCTCCAGTATCTCAATTCTTCGGAAAACAGCACAAAATCTGCTCCAGAGTTCATCCCCATAGTCACCTGCCAATAAAAGCATTCATACTTTGGGGTTGGGAACAATGAAGCCACCCGTCCTCTACAGCACTGGGCGATAGGCTTTGTTGCAGGAGGGTGATTGAGCATTAATGATCACCGCCTCGTCAATTCTCTTGTTCCATCCAGCCATGCATGCATGTGCTTGTGCCCGTTTTTGCATGTGCTGCGCTTGTGCAAGTGCATGTGCATGTGCATGGATGAATTCACCAGGTCCAGCATTCATGCTACCACACGCATCCATCAGCGCACCGTCATTCAGCTGTCCTCTTAAACCCTTCTCCTAGGCTCATTCTGGACTGCTCCGGCTGCCTTGCTGGCATGCTCTTCCGCAAGGAATTTCACCCTTCCCGATTTTTTGGTGTTGTCCTTTCATTGCTCGGTGTGCCCTATGGCCTAGGCTCTATCTGCACGCAACAGTGGTCTTCTATTGCCCGCTTTGTCGAATTTTTATATCTTCCACAAATTGGTTGATAGGCTATGGTGAGTTGCCCTCTAAAGGGTACAACACTTTATGTCGACACTTGTATCCCCTTGTTCCCACTCACTCATCAACATTCTCGATGCTCTCTTCCTAGCTAATATAAAGATAGTATTAGACTAGGTAATTTTTCTCCTTCCCACACTTCCGCTCCCTCCCTTAGCCGGTCCGAAGGCACCCGTCCCTTAGGCTCCAGTTTGTCGTGTTGGAGGTTGGTTGGGGACATGTGGTCCCCACGACACTTCCTTCCTACATAGACAAGCTGGGTTGGGTGGCAAGAGTTTGGGCGGAGGGTGACGGTGCACTCAAGTCCAACATTGCACTTGGGTGGTAGCAAACAAACAAAAGTGACGGGGGGTGTTTACAAGTAGGCGGAAAGAACCAAACAAAAACAAAAACACATGGCGCAATACAATTGGTCCGACCAATTGCAAGTTGAATGCTTGGACCGGAATGTAAAAGGGAAAAGAACGTAACTCCTTTTCCAAAGTTCCACTGACAATTTAGCAATGGGGTGGGTTACACAATCGCACACGGCTCGGTTACAACTGCGGTTCGACTATACGGAGTTTCTGGATTTCTATCTTATGGAGTATAAAAACTCACTCGTCATTCGAAATTGTATCCTCTCTGGAATGTTGTACCCAGCCCTATATTATAAACAACTACGTTCTCATTTCTTGTGTTCTTTGGTGCTACGGATTTGTCATTCAGAGACCTATCCAGAAATAGCTCACACAATTATTTTCATCAAAAACTGAGTTCACGATGGCGTTTCAAAGCATACAAATTTCCTGCATGGTTTCAGAGCTATAGGACTTCCCAAATGCTTGACGCCTAGCTCTTCTCGTCACCATGTCTTTGATTTCCTCATCAACCTCTGATGTCCCCTTTTGTCCTAACCCAAATGAGTCCTACTCCGCATCTACGATGATCGTCGACATGAGTGCGGTGCCATTGTTCAATGGCGAGCACTATGCATCATGATGCTTCAAGTTGAAGGTGCAGATGATGAAGCGTGAGCTTTGGGGCTTCTTCGACGGATCCGGAGTGAAGCCTTCAAGCGCCTTGACAACGGAGCATGGAGCATGGGTGAAGAAGGACAAGAAGGCGTTCTCGATTCTCGTGTTGAAGCTTGGACTTCAGCTCATGCCGGTGGTGAGCTCGTGCATCGACCTTGAAGGAGCTACACGTGAAGCTTGGAGGCGCCTCGAGAACATCCACGTGACGAAGTCTCTCTACGGCAAGTTGCAAGCAAGGAGGAACTTCTTCACCATGCGCATCAAGGAGGGCGAACGCATGCGCGCGTACGTCAACCGCGTTGAGGAGCTTGGCAAACGAATGGTGGAGCTTGAAGCAGACGTGGACGGAAAGGATTGGATCATGACGCTTCTCGGAGGGCTCCGAGAGGAATGGTCAACCGTCATCACCACCCTTGACGGCATGCAAGCGACGTGGACCAAGGAGGGGGTGACGACGCGCCTCATAGACGTGGAGATGCGGTGGATCAACTTGAAAGGCGATTCAACGAGTTCGGCTCACTTCACGCGCGGGGTGAAGAAAGGCGTTGTCTACACCAAGGCACGGAATGACCGTGGGCATGTAAGTGGAAGCGCGGGCTCTTCACGTGGAGGACACGCCAACAACAACAACAACCGTGGTCATGCTCATGAAAGAGCATGCCGGTATTGCAAGAAGGTCGGGCATTGGTGGCACGAGTGTCGGAGCAAGCCAAGGGATTGGACTCCAACATCGCCAACTCAAGAGGAACGGCGCGCGAACGTGGTAACTTCGGGAGAAGATACCAAGGAGCTCGTGTTCATCACGGGAGAAGGAGCTCTTGGCAAGTTCGCTTGGCTTCTCAACACGGGCGCTACACAACACATGACGCTACATGCGGAGCTTCTTGAGGATGTCTTGGCGGATGCTCCTACCAAGCGCATGGTCTTCGGTAATCAAGACTCGCTTGAGATGAATGGACACGTAACGTTGCGCCTCGCGGTGGACGGCGGTCCAATGACGATCAACAACGTGTTGGTTGTCCAAGTCACAATGCTCCCCATGAAGAGAGTGACTTGGAAGGAGAAGCTGCAAAGTTTGGAGCAAGGGGAGGCATCACCTCTGCGCCGCACCACACGCATCTCCCGGCCACCTGAAAGGTTCACACCAAGTGCACAGTATGCTTGCATGCATGATCATGAGGTGCATGATTTGGAGGAGTGCATGCTTGTGGATGCTGAGGGGGGTGAGCTTGGGCTTGATTTCTGTCTCATGGGTCAGGTGCATGAGTCTCATTTGGTAAAGGAGGCCTTGTCCCGTCCTGAGTGGGTCGAGTCCATGCATGAGGTGCTTGAGTCTCATAAGGTGAACGAATCTTTTGAGCTGGTTGATCCAGCTTGTGTGCCACCTGGAATGGAGGTCTTGAGGTGTCAGTGGGTGTGGAAGTATAAGCACATGGCTGATGGGAGTATTGATAGGCCTAAGTCCAGGTTGGTGGCCATGGGGAACACTCAAACACGAGGCGTTCACTATGACCAGGTATATACCCCGGTAGGTAAACCTACCACCCTGAGAGGTTCCCTTGGGATGGCAGCATCCTCGGGGTTTCACATCCATCACATGGATGTGACCACTGCCTATCTTCATGGGGTCTTGAAGGAGGAGCTTTACATGAGGCAGCCACCTGGTTTTGATGATGGGTCCGGCAGAGTTTGCCGACTCACGAAATCAATCTATGGGCTAAAGCAAGCTCCAAGGCAGTGGTACCTCAAGTTTGATGAGGCGTTGATGGATTTTGGGTTTGAGAGGTCGGAGTGTGACCCCGCCTTGTACCACTTGGTGAGGCATGAGGGCAGGCTGTCCCTCTACCTCTATGTGGATGACATTCTGCTCATGTCTTCGAGCATGGTCTTGCTGGACGAGGTGAAGGGTATCTTGTCCTCTCGTTTCTGCATGAAGGACTTGGGGGAGGCTAAGTACTATTTGGGGGTGCTGATTGAGCGTGATGAGAGTGGCATCTTGATTCATCAAGAGAGGTACATTCTCAACCTGCTTGAGTCCTTTGGCCTTTCTGAGGCTAGCCCCGTACGTACCCCTCTCCCTTCAGGGTTCGACGTGCATGCACATGCTGAGGAGCCCTTGCTGCGAGATGAGCTGGTCCAGCTCTATCAAAGCATTGTGGGGTCTCTCATGTATGCAAGCACAACCACACATCCCCAGATTGCTTATGCAGTGTCACAGCTGTCCAAGGTGGTGTCTTGTCCCAAGGCATTTCACTTGCAGGCTGCTAAGAGAGTGCTAAGGTACCTGAAAGGTTGTGTCAAGTCAAGTATCTTCTACCCCGCACACAGCAAGCCTCAGGTTGATTTGGTGGGCTTTAGTGATGCTGATTATGCTGGAGATTCAACTGATCATAAGAGTCACACCGGCTATGTCTATTGCCTTAATGGTGCAGCCATCTCTTGGCAGAGCAAGAGGCAGCCGGTGGTTGCATTGTCCACCACCGAGAGTGAGTACATTAGTCAATGTCAGTGCATTCAGGAGGGTGTGTGGCTGAGGCGTTTGTTTGGGGAGTTTGGGCATGAGTTTGCTGGTGGTGTGCCTGTGTTTGTGGACAACCAATTGTTAGAGACTAAGGACGGAGTCAATGAAGATTAGGAGCCTAAATTTCTCAAAATCGTTGGCTTGAAATTCTGGACAGAATCGTCGAGTTCACAAGAAACGTCGTCGGCTAAACTTGCACCGTTGGAATTGTCTCAAACTCGAGTATGTTGTCGCTTGTAACCAGGGCTATCTTTCCCAATTTGAATCGTATCAAATGGTGGAGTAAATCTCGAGTTATGATTTTCGGCGCACTAGGGGGTATGCTGCCACATGCTTAACTCAATCACAATGGTTCTCACAAGTTCCACAAAGTTACACACAAGAGAGTTAGGGTAGCACTAAACCAGGTAGGAGGGAAGAGGAGGACGAGAGGGAAGGTCCCAAGAGATTCCCCAACCAAGGAAACCCCATGCCACACAATTCCCTTCCCCATAGGCAACCCCACTTTCACATTTGTCACTTTCCCAACTCATGCCATCCACCTCAACCCACTTGGCCACACTTGCCAACCTGGTTTGGCTTCACCCAACCACATGGCAGCATTCTACAGTGATGGGTTCGAATTCCCAACCCCCAAAAGTCTGTACCCCATATTGAGTCAACCCCACAACTTCCCATAGTCGCCACAACCGAAGTACAGAAAGCATACGAACTCCAACGTTCGTAACTTTCTTGATATTGCTCCGATCGCGACGATTCTTGGCTCGTCGGAAAGATCTTGAGCAGTGGAGTCACTTCAGATATCTGCTCAAGCCAAATAACATTCACACACACTCAGAAAATCCAAACCACAGAAAAACACAAATTCTTGCGCACGCTCATTTCACACATGCAACGCACGAACACATGATGGGAGGCAGACAGACGTGAATGCAAATGATAGCATCACATAACACCAATCTGCCATTGCCCTTGCACAGAATGCATGCTTGCATGGCCGCACCAAGCACATGCAGGTTCGGAGGCATTTCATCAGGGAGATGGTGGCGTGTGGCGAGGTGATCCTCCGGTGGTGCCCCACCAACCGTCAAGCAACAGATATACTCACCAAACCCCTCCCTTTTGAGCGGCATGGTGTGTGCATGTCCTTGATAGGGATGCAGCACCATGTCAGCATGGTGCCTGAGCAGGATGTGGGAGGACTGGTGCTTCTCTGCCTTGACGACCTCATGCTGTGGATGGCGTCCCTCCCTGGGCAAGGGGGAGTGAAGTGAAGGATTTTGCCCAGTGGTGTTCAGCCACCTCCAGCACGAACAAGGGGGAGTGTTGATTGTGTAGGTGGTTGTGGTATTTTGCTCTAGCTGGTTGTGGGCTAAGGGTTTGGGCAAAATGTAGTAGTTAGACTTGTTGCGGGCTAGAATTGATCTCGCACCCACCATGCACCAACAAAGCTTTGCTATTCACTACAACACCTTTGGTGTTGCTAGTTTAGCACTTTGGGTTGTTGGGGACTGTTGAAAGGCGAGGGTTGGGCTGGTAGGGTTTGAACAACTCGTCACTTTTCAGATCTGAACTCTTGCTAAAGCTAGTCTCTTGATCTAATCCATGGCTGCCTATCAATTCCGCCATAATACACCGTCGCACTTAAATCGCGATAGCGATCGGCCTAGATCTTGGTTGAAAGCGTGCGTTACCATTCTGTAAATTAGAGATTAAGACCTTTCCAACGCGTACCTTTTCAAAGTTTTAAGGTTACGTGAGCTACACGCAATGTTCCTTCGAAGTCGGCGGACTTAATCTCTTGTACGCTCTCCAGATTTGCTCGCTTTCCATCATTGCCCACAGCCCCTTTCAACCGCTCATTGCCCCTTCCAACCGCTCACAGCCCCTTCCAACCGCTCACAGCCCCTTCCAACGTCTCACGCCCCTTTCAATCGCTCACAACCCCTTCCAACCGCTCACAGACCCTCATCACGGACGCACACCACCCAGGACCACCCAACGTCCGTTGGTTTGACACTCCCGTCGCTCATATTCACAGTGTTTTGCACCATCGCGGCTGGAGGCTGCTCCACTTAGCTGTTTAGGCTAGTCATAGCGTTCATTGTTAGCTAGGTCTCTCCTCGCTCCGCTAGCCCCTCGAACGACTCTCTGGCTCCTCGATCGACTCGTCTGCCCTGCCTCCTCCAGCCGCCTGCTCCTAGCTCAGCTAGCTCTCAGCTCTGTTAGTTACTAGACGGGCGCTCCTAGCTCAGTTTTCCTCCGTACTCCAGCAGTACCTCGCCTAGTCCCACATGGCGCTCCTCGCTCCTAGCCCCTACTGCTGCACGTACTTTCCACTACCAGTGGCTCTACTAGTGGCAGCTGACAACCGCACTTACAGTCTCTATCTCCGGCCGTTCCTACCTCCAGCCAGCCCTAGCACACCATTTCTAGCTCCAGCCAGTTGTACTCCAGCCATTCTAGCTCCAGCTGATCTCGCTCCAGCTGTTTCAGCTCCAGCCGTTCTCGCTCTAGCCGTTTCAGCTCCAGCCATTCTAGCTCCAGCCGTTCCTCGCCTAGTTTCACTTGGCGCTCCTAGCTCAACTTGCTCCGTGCTCCAGCAGTTACTCGCCTAGTTTCTCCTGGCGCTCCTAGTTGTTCTTGTTTTTCAATGCAGCCGTCCCTAGCTCCTGTCGCACCTAGCCTGCCGCTCCTGCACCCTGCTAGCCTTTATCATGGAGTCCATTAGGGTTCTCCAGCAGCAGGGACAGCAACAACGGCCGTTTCAGCAGTGGCGCCCATAGCAGCAGTGGCACCCGCAGGAGCAGTGGCGCCCTCAGCAGCTGCTCCGCCCTCAGCAATTGTGGCGCCCTCAACAGCCATGGGGGCCTGGTGGTTCGGGTAGCGTTGGCTGCAACAGCGGCCCAGCCAGGTGGGAGGCTCGTCGCGCTGGCCGCGACGTCGGCCCCTGCCAGTACCAGATCGTGACCGGCCCTGATGTTGGCACTACCTGCTGGCGTCCTGACCACTCTGCGAAGAGCTGCTACAGCCGCCTCGACGACCTCTACCGTCAGCGTTTTGGGCCTGAGTCGGCTCCCCCGATCTTGTCCGCTCAATTTTGTAGTGGTTACCCTGTGTTTGCTATGTATATGGATGTTGGTTATTCTATCACGTATGGATCTCTTGGCTTGCGTGTACCTTGTGAAGAAAGAGGAATGATTGAACTAGCAAGGAGATGGGTATAAGTAGGGAAACCTAGCAGTGTTGTACCCTATATGATCTACCCCACTACAGCCTACACAGACTATGTCATGTATGTTTGACACACCCCCATAGGCAAAGTGGGGGAGAACAAGAGGTCATAAGACCGGTCAAGCAAAGCAAGGCAAGCTCAGGGTGGATCACAACGTCACCACACAAGCTGAGCACAAGCACAGGGCCACAACGCCAGTTCACATGCAGAGTTATATATGAAGGTGAACAAGCAAGGCAGTGACCAAAACATAGCCAGGGTAAGCATGCAAGTGCAGGTATATATAGATCACAGTACAAGCAAAGTCAAGAAGTGAGCAAGTGAGGCCAAGTAGGCACAAGACCTAGCATCGTACAAAAGTGCTAATGATCACAAGGCTGAAGTGCCTTGGTAAAGATATCAGCGGTGTTGGCCCGAGAGGCCACGTAAGCAAGGCGTAGCTGACCACGCTGCTGTAGCTCAAGAGCAAGGAAGTAGCGAAGAGCAATGTGCTTTGTTCTGTGCTCCAGTCTGTGCTCCCGTCACAAAGCCAGCACGGCCTTGTTGTCTACGTACAGAATAGGAGGAGAACGAGGCGGCTCTCCTAGGTC